GTGTATCTAATAACACGTGAATAACATAAATTGTAAACTCAAGACAAATATATGAGTTAATTAGTCTTAAAACTGCTGAAGGTGTGACTGCAGTGCTGTCTGCTCTGTGAATACTGCCCTGAGACTGGAGGTACTGGCACAAAGGCCATTTCCCATCAGGACTGTGTAGGCAAAGAGGTTTCTGTGATGGTGTCACCAGGTGATGCCCTGTGCTCAGCAGCCTTGTCTCCAGTTTAGCTGAGCACCTTCATCTAGGCATTAGCACTGCATGTTCTTCATGGCTTTAAGGTGAAGGAGACCAGATTTAGATTGGATATTAGGAAGAAGTTCTTTACTGTGAGGCTGATGAGATGCTGGACAGATTTTGTTCAGAGTAGTTGTTGATGACCGCTCCTGGAAGTCTTCTGTGACATTATTTGACCTCGGTGAGGATGGCTTATATGTGCACATCGTTAAGGGTTTTTTCCCTGGAGTGGGTCCAGCATTCTTTAGGATTGTATCCCCAGGGATGAATCCTCTATGTTCAGTGGGAGTTCAGCCTACTGGGAGGGGGGCTGAGAAAGGATAGGTTCTTCCTGGCCATGCTTGGCTTCTCAGTGCATGTCTGCTGTCTGCTTAAATGAAGAGTCTCTATATTTTTTTCATTTCTTACTCTGCCCAAAGGAGGTTTCTTCCTTCAGGGTCAGCATAGAGTCCTGAGGAGTGTCAAATTTTTTTCATTTCTTACTCTGGAAACCAAAGGAGGTTTCTTCCTTCAGGGTCAGCATAGAGAGCTGGGGAGTTTCTTGATTTCTGACCATATGGAGGATTATAGGGTTAAGAAATAGTGTCTCATCTCTCACCACTTACTGCAGAAGTCTCCTATAGCAAGTCAGATGCTGTGAGTGTAAAAATTTATTAATCATGGGCATTTTTACTTTTTTTTTTCCTTTATAATACTAGGGAAATAGAAAGGAAAATAAAAGCTACAATTAAAATTAAGATCAGTTGCTGCAGTTGAAAGAGACAGCACAATTGTAATATGTTAGAAAATTGCCTTGTTTTAGAAAAAGTGCTGATTAAGATCAAATTTGTCTTGAGTTTAAATTTTGATTGGACCTAAACTGAGGGGAGGGGGGTTATATTTCAGACACAGTGCAAATGATGCATGTTAATATCCTCTGTTTATTGCCACTTGAAATTGCAGCATAGCTTTGAATTGCTGCCAAATCTACAGTTAAGACTCCCAAGTAATCACTATGATTATTCCAAATCTTCATGGTAGCAGTGAAAGAAAAAGTCTGATATGCAGAGAACTGTCGCCTAAGCCATCAGAATCTTTTCATTCTTTGGGGCTCAGATTGTGATTCCACTCATAGCAGGAATGGTTAGACATGCATATTGGCCAATCAGTCTTGAAAGAGAGATTAAACAAATGGATTTAATTATGTTATTTTCAGATTTGTTTGTTTTTTTTTTGTTAACTCCTGCCTCACTGACTTTTTCTGTAATGAGGAAAAGCATGGCTTTGCTTTAGTTTTGGAATGGTTTAATTCCTATATTGGCATGGTATTCTTCTTTTTTATTGGATTTGTTTTTCCTTTTCCCTCTGTTCATGTATAACAGATACCATTTTTATTCTTTTTCTTTAAAATCCATAGGGGTGTTTATCTCCTTGAAATATTTTTTTTTTTACTTCTGTGTAGCTGCTGGCAGTTGTAGGCTTACATAAGACCTGAATGTATACACATGTTATTGTGGTTTATTTAGTTGGATGGTGATTAAGTACTGATGTCTGAGATAAACAACATAATATAGAGTTACAATTAAAAAAAAAAATTAGAATAATCTCACAGGAGATTTCTTTCTTTCTTTCTCACAGGAGCGAGAAATTACATACAAAATGTTTATAAGGAGCTCAGATTTATCTGTGCTTAAAATCTCTTCTGTTTTTTAAATACACAGTTATTCAAGGCAGTAGTTTATTTTGAATTAAAGCCATCACTGCTAGTTGGCTCTCCAGACAGTATGTCCCGCTTGCATCCCTTCATCAGTTGCTTGCAGGAGGCTTTTGCTACTTGTTCCACTTACAAAGTAAATAAAACTTGTTGTGGAAAGCATCTAATGTGGATACAGTATTTACTCTGGAGCATTTTCCTAAATAACTAGTGTTAGCCAGCAGGCAAGTCTGAGCACCCGGTGTGTTAGCTGTGGGAGGAAATCTGTATGTCTGACACATAATGATCAGTTTAAACTATTGAAATATAAATCACAACACGGAGTGAAATTCAAAAATATTTATTTAAATGAATTATGGTGTGTGTGTGTGTGAATAAAAGAATAGTTAGCAACCCTGCCATACATGCTTGCAAGTCTACAATCTTTAGGCTATTTTTTAAAATAGTTTTAACTCCAAAAGATACATAGTATTTTTGAAGGACAGCATTAGCAAATATCACAGTGTGTTTGCATTACATTATAACAAGCATTTTTCTTATGATTTCAGTGCTGTTGAGTCCACATTATGAAACTTAGCCATGCTTCTATTTAAGCCTCATTAACAGTGAAAACCACTCCCTATTTTATGAATCTCATTCCTTTATTATTTTGAAGCCATAATTTTGACATTTTTGGAAGTGTAAGATTTATAGGGTCAGGGAAAAAAAAATGCAGCAAGACAGTATTTCTGTAGTCAGAAATTCCTGTTCTGTACAAGTGCAGTTTGTGCCTTTTCTGGGGACCAGGTCCTTCTCTCCATGTTCTGGTCACAAACCAACAGGAATGAGCACTATATACCTCGCTCAGCAGGAAAATAGTTTGAACTTATTTATTTCCAAGAGAAAATAGATATTTTAAGCCTAAGTCACAGACAGGAGTCTGGCAAGAAAGTACAAATGTCTGTGTTTGGCATAAACATTTCTTCATTCCCCCTGAGATGCAGGCACAGGGACAGGGCAGCACATGGCACCACATTCAATTTCGGGCTCATGCCATGCTTGCTGCAGAAAACCTAATAAATGAGTGTGTCACAAGAATCTCTGAATGCTGCATCTAGGCCACCAGCAGCTACTGGTGGAGTGTAGATAGTAATGAATTAAACAGACACTGTTTGAAGGGACAAAAAGCCCAAGAGACAGAAAGCCGTTTGCTACAGTAGAAATAAGAGAAGGCATTTGTGAAGGTGTCATGTACCGAGGCTTTCCAATGAAAATGTCATTTATATCATTAAAAAATACAAGATAATACCAATGTAATGGGTTATTATTTTGCTCTTCTTACTGACCTAGTCATGCAGCTAATGGAATGGATTTGCCTTAATGTATGCTTTAGTGTGGGATTTCAGCACTGGACCATGAACCCTGAAATATCTGCAGTTGTCTCTCATGTTCAACAATGTACTTCAATAAGTGCCCCATTTGAGGTATATGAAAGCCCTTGAAATTAGTGCTACTGTGTATGTGCTTCAAGGAAAAGTGAGGAAAAGTGCACATGCTTAAGTTACTTGTCAAATTGGAGCATCTGTAAATGTTGAATTTATAGTTTTCCCCCCAAGACCAATTGCAGTAAAAGCTCAGCCCAGCTGTCATAGCTGTATAATTCATTAGAAGTTTCAAAATTTTAACTTCAGCTCTGCTCTAAAAAAGTGACTACATAAAAATGGTGCTGTTTTTTTAATCTCTTTTCATTCTCTCTATTCACATTATTGTGATTCTGTTTGCATAACTCATTGCCATTTATCTCTGTAAGCAATTTACAGTCACTGTATCACAGTGATCAGTATTCTGTGGTGTTTTCTGCACCATTTGCTGAATATTCTAAATCCATTTTGAATTAAGAATTTTTTTTAATTGTTTTTTGAAGTATGAGCTAGAGAGAGCCCAGCTGGACTTTGAAAATCTAGTTTGTTTGCAGGCTATCAGTTGATAAAGGCTGATTTTTGAATGCCAACTGGACCCTTTTGATCTGGAAAAACAATCAAAATGGACTCACATTGGCAGTTTTAGAACCATGATGTTATAGCAAAAGGTGAAGGAGTTGAAATGAGTAAAATTCTAACTAAATTATGCGGGGAGAATTTGTTGCTTAAAGCTTAATGTAAAGATCACACTAGGAAACAGCTCAAGATATTGAGTCAAGGCATTGTTTGGACCTGAGAAGGAAATTCAGATAGTTTGTTGGCATATTCTTCTGCATCAAAGTGAATTGCATTTTATTCAAAATATGTCAGGAAGAGGAAAATGGTGAAACAATGGAGAGATATTATAAAGAAGTTCTTTCTCCTCTGTCATGCTTCTGCTGTAGCAATGATTGCTTTTACGTTTAGTAGCCTCACTAGATAAAGAGATTAATTTATATGGATGTGTTAAAATAAGTCATTACTAGTAGCATTTTTTTTTTTCAAATTAGTGTGGAGATTTTATCATGTGGCCTCATGAGCCTTGAACAAGCACCAAAACCCAAGGCAGTCATTCTGAGCAGAGATGAGGAGCGTAATCAGTTTGGTGTGGATTCCAAGAGAAGTTATAGAATGTTACATTCACAGGTTTGGTCAGGGAAGATTAATGAAATCTTGTAATCCTTATCTCTTAGGTGATTTGAGTTTCTTGTCTGCAGAATTTTGATATGTAGGTAAGATGCTTACAAAATGTGACATTAACACAAAAAAATAAGGCTGTATTGTCTGTTGTAGAGAAATCAGGCTTCTGAAGGTTTCTTGTTGTTTTTGTCTTTTAGATAATTCTTGTAAGCTCTTCCCATAATGACCGTGACCAAAGCCTTTTCATAAGCACAGATGAAGGAGCCACTTTCCAGAAACAACCCATTGCTAATGTTTGGTCAGGGAAGATTAATAAAATCTTGTAATCCTTATCTCTTAGGTGATTTGAGTTTCTTGTCTGCAGAATTTTGATATGTAGGTAAGATGCTTACAAAATGTGACATTAACACAAAAAAATAAGGCTGTATTGTCTGTTGTAGAGAAATCAGGCTTCTGAAGGTTTCTTGTTGTTTTTGTCTTTTAGATAATTCTTGTAAGCTCTTCCCATAATGACCGTGACCAAAGCCTTTTCATAAGCACAGATGAAGGAGCCACTTTCCAGAAACAACCCATTGCTTTCTTTGTGGAAACTCTCCTTTTTCACCCAAAAGAAGAAGATAAAGTACTTGCTTATACCAAGGAAGGCAAGGTAAGGCTTGAAGGTACAGCATTTCTCTGAAATTTAGGAATTGCTCTATTAAATAAAGTAATTCCGACATGCTGATTAGTGTTGGGTTTTATGAAATAATAATTACTCAGAAGGGAATCATATAGTGGTTTTGAGATTTATTTAAATATTTATTTTATTGATGTCCAAATCTTTGTGGTTATGGTAGTTTCAATCCTGGCATTTTCAGTTGGTACGGATATTGGGAATATTTATCCTTCCGCATAATACAGTTAAATAATAATGAAACATGCTCCTCCCTAGAATGTAAACAATTTATAGTACAGTAGGAAGTTAATGAAGTTGAAATATTGCCTCCAAAGGCTGTTCACAGGATATAAAATAAACTCATACAAAACAAACTGCACACTCATACAGCAGAATAGGATTTGTGAAATCAGTGACTGTAGAAATGTACAATAATTATATCCCTTATAGTGGCTTTTTACCACTTTCAGATTGATGAGCAGTTCATGTCTGTTAATTTTTACCCTCTTTCAGATTTCTTGTGGTTAAACTGTGAAGTCAGTTTTCTGGGTTGCCTGGGCTAAGCACTGATGAGTGTGCACACCATCTCCAAGTGTGCAGCTCATCTCTTTTTCACAGTGCCAAAACTGCAGCTGCAAACTCCCTGTCATTCTGGTCCTGGTAGCAGCCTTGACTCACCTCTACCATTACTTCTATTTTAAATTTAAATTGGGAAATTCCAGTCCATTTTACCCTCATCATACCTCACAGAAAGTGTCTATTTAGGTGGTGAGATTAGTCAGAGAAGTTGCACATACTGCAACCAAATAGTGATCACTGATTCCAGTGATGTTCTGTCAAGTCATCCTTTTGGACATGCTTTTGAATGTATAAGTTAACAGCTGATCCCAAACCAATTCATGTTTACAGGTGTTTGCAAATAAGGGTAGAACTAGAATAAAAAACATAGCAAACCAAACTAAGTCACTAAATATTTTACTTTTGGTTTGAAATCCTAGCACAATTACAAATAATTTGAATGCATTTTATGTAAATAAAATACATCAGGGATGCCTGAAGCAATGTAAAGGTTTTGTTATGAAAATATAAATGAAAAGCCTTTGTTATGAAAATATTTGTTTCTGGTTTGACTTTTGTACCCAGAAGTAGATATAATTATTGAAATTTTTATAGTTACAGAGTGGTGGAATCATGAAGTGTAAGAGCCCAAAGTGTATGAACATGTTGTCCAGCCCACAAGAAGTGGGTAGAAGTATTTGTCAGAAGAGAGCAGGAGGTAGAAGTACAAAGTGAAGCAATTGGTTTGTGTTTTGATGAATTAAGCATGTTAGGAAGATTTTCAGGCATTTTATAATTGGATAATCTCCCAAAAGGAGTGATGCTACTATTATCCATGCTTACAGTGTGACTGGACAAAAAAAAACCAAAAACAAAACTATAAAAAAATATTCAGTAAGGAATAGTTCTGCAGGAATAGCTGTAAGGGTGAGGTAATCTGATGGACTTTTCTCAGGCTTTCAATGACACTAAAAAGAGTCAACCATAAAGACTTCCTTGACAAGTCCTACATCTTTACCTTTAGTGTGTAAGAATGAAGGATGCCTTTGACTATAACTGGGTCAGTAACCTGCTTATGTTTTGTATGAAATCTGATATATTTGGTCTAGAAGGGAAAGGAAGATAAAGTGATGTTTGCAGAGAAGGAGTTGAAAATCAAAATTGCAACTTGACACAACAAAAGGTCACTGTACTAAAATCAATGGTCTTGAGAGAGAGTGTTGATCTGAAATTGCCTGAGGAGTCAGTACACTCTAGGTTTTTGAGTTAAGTAACTTCACCTTCCCTAAAAAAAAAGTAATATCAGAATGTAATATAATCTAAAATTCTAAAATGGAGAAACAATTAGCTTCTGTTATTCAAATAATTTCTTGCAAAGGCACTTTTTAAGAGACTGCAAGGACACTGCAAGGAATGCAAGCAATCAGGTCCTTCATAAATAGCAGTCAGCAAGGCTTCTTTGTTTGCTAGAGCATCTTGGCCTTTTCCACAACTTTTGATTCGATTTAGGGCTTATTTCATATTGCAAAATATGTGTTGTTCTTTCATTCAGAACCCTAGATTCTGTTTAAATAAATCTCTAGCCTCTAGCTGACACTATAAATGAATGCAAATCCAGTCAATGTGGTTGGATTAATCCATTTACTGCCTCAAATCTATACACTCTTTTTCTGGCAGCCCCTCAGTTATAATGAATAACAATCATCTATTTGCTGAGCCTACATAAATGCTTCTAGATGTTTTTAAAAAATTGTCAAGGATGCAATAGATTTTAATTTTTCATTTGGAAGCAGAAAGGATGAAATAATGGCAAAACATAAAAATATTTTCAATATTTTTAAAAAGGCACTTCCACACATTTATTGCACAAGTGAGCATAGGCAAAATTGTAAGACCTATTAGATCTGTTTGCTTCAGCCAGAGATTTTAGCTGTCTAAATCTCATAATAGTCTATATAATCTCATTTAATAGTTTTATAATATGTGCCTATTGAAAAACAAAATACATATGGATCACTTGGGTTTTTTTCTTGCAGAAAGTTCAATGTGTATGTAAGCTAGTTACATGTTATTTTTTATCTATTTCATATACTGCGTCAGTTAAAATTTCATTTAAGTTTTAATATTCCTTATTAATCCTACTTCACTCTCTCTAACAGTTGCAGGAATTTCAGAGGCTTCTTCCCTCTGCAGAAAGCTTCAGTCATAAGCTCCCAGACTTTGGTTTTAAATGTGTATATGAGCTGGTAGTTTGGATTTGGGGGAGAGGGGGTGGATTTAGTTTGGCCTTTGGCTTCTCTTGTACAGGTGTCTGTGTTCAAAGGGTGAGAATCTTTCATTTTCTTCTGAAATTCATTGATGACAAAAATAGATCCCTTTGTTGACGTGCCAGTGTTGTCCCTTATCCTAAACAGTTCTCTTCCCTCTTGCTGGGAACTTCTGAATGCTTGGCTTTTTTTGCAGCTTAGACAACAGGGTTAGGATAGTGCATTAATTATCATCTTTCCCAGGTTTAAGCAGTCTACTGAGGGTTACTCAGGTTACTCAGTGAGCAGGGACTGTTTGGAAAAATGGTAAACCCAGTGGTTATCCTCTCTGCAATTCCTGTGATAACAGGTGTTTGAAGAAGTAAGCAGCTTAGGTTCTTCACTCTGCTCAGTCCAGTCCATTCACAGCCACATCCATGTCCCCAAGGAGGTTGCTCAGAGAAGGATGTTATAAAATACCCTGGGTGCACCAAATCCTAAGCCACATAAAATTAATAGAAGAAATTTAGCAGGCAAATTAGGAACCTGGCTTTGCAGCCCCATCATTTAGCTCTGAAGATGAAGAATTTTTGATCCCAAATCATTTCTCCCTGTGTGTTGACTGGGTCAATAGGCAGTCTGAGTCCTCATTGTAGTTTCCAACCCTGTGGTCTATCTACTTTAATCAAGTGTGCAATGGAAGGGAGCCCAGTTATTGTGAAGTGCAGAGTAGCTGGGAAATTCTCTTCTATCTCTAATTCAAACTTCAGTAAATTTACCCATAGAGTTGATTCTACATTTATTCTACCTCAGCCTTTATCTTTACATGTTAATATTGCTGTTTTCCTGTAATAGAACATAATACACAACTGTGGGGGCTTTTTATCTTTTGTCATTGAACCTGCAATTTTAAAACATAAACATTCCTGACTACTTATAAGATACTTTCCCCAGAAGACAGTTACTGAACTAGTGAATTCTACATCAGAGAAGAACAGTTTTACTTGTGTTTTTATCCCCCTATTAGAGATATCAAGAGAAAACCCATCTTATGTAAATTGGATCAAATAAGAAATGCATGCAGACAGCAGGGGGCTTTAAATCTGTCTTTTAGAAGTCTGATAGAAACTTCCCATTTTAACTGGAGGAAACACATTTTGAAGGCAAATGCTAAAGGAAGGAGATTTGTTAAGAGCTATTCTAGATCCCATATTATTCTGGGGGAGAATATCTTTCATCTGCACTTTTGATATCCATCCATATCATTAGCGTTTGTTGTTTTGCCAGAGGGGAACTGTTCATAGAGAAGGTGGGGCTGGAATCCTCCTCCTCCAGGCCATCTTGTGTCTCTGTGCTGAAGGAGCACTTCTCCTGGGTTACAAATTAGTGTCTGTGGAGCAAGCCCATAAGTGCATCTCTCATCAAATCTCTTAAGCATTTCTGTAATATATTTTGGTCCTATTTTAGCAGAGTTTTAAATCCATTGACTTCCTGGCTCAAGTAGTTTTGATGGCATTAAAGTTTGAAGCATAAGGAAATATTTGTGCTTCTTTGATCAATGAATGGGAAGAAGAAGTGCCCTTTTACCATCCCTCTTGTGTAACCATGCTGAGGTAAAAAAGAATCTGACCCCAAACAAATTGTGTTTTTACAGTAAACAAAAAGTAATTGTTGCAGAATTTTGTTTATTATAGACCATATTTTAAAATAATTTCTCTATGAAAGGCTGTTAATCTGGAAAACAAGGTACTGAGCTCCTGGTAAATTGGTTTTGATTTTGTTTGGGTTTTTTTCCTTTTTATTTGTGTACAATCTGTCTTTCTAATAGTTATATAGGGCCTGTCTTTGAAGATGTACAGTATTATCAGTTTCCTATAATCTTATTTTTCACCTTCTTTTCTCCTTTTCTAGATTTATGTATCTATTGACTTGGGGAAAAAATGGAACCTTCTGCAGGAACGGGTTTCTAAAGATCATTTTTTTTGGTAAGAAGTTATTTTTGAAATAATAAAATTAGCAGAGAAAGTATTTCATTCTAATCCAAGAAGATGTTTACAGAAGTATGGATGGGGACTGTGTGAGCCTTGGCATCCTTTGCAGGTGATGGCAATGTTTCTGTATCCTCTGTTGCAAAGTCATATTCATGCCAGGGACACATGGAAAGGTTGTAGGTCTGGGTCTATGGAGCCCAAGATTTAAAGAAAGCTCCAATGTTGAATGAAATTGTTCTCCATTTCACTGGTGAAATTGATCTTTAGGAAGTAGAGGAGTCTTTTTGCAGAGAAAGATCTATAATTTTTTTTTAAAAGAAGCAGGATAATAACTACCAACTGGAGTCACATATACACTTGCACTGCTATGGAAGATGGGGGAAAATATTACTTTATTGACAACATATATATCTAATTATTTCATTTTCAGCTCAAGTGTTGTACAGGTATCTCACACTGTATATGTATCTCACAAAGTATTTAATTGTGAGATAATTTAAGATAATTTGTGAGAGGATTTAAGCAGGTTGACAAAATGTTTGAAAAGTAAGGTATTGTCCTTATTTTAACAAATAAAATTATTTTGAAAATAGTATAGCTTCTTTAAAACCAAAATTAAACTTTTTATAGTGTTTTTATTAATTTTATTTTTTAAATTGGCGGGTTTCACATTCACTTCCACCTTTCACATTTAATTTTAGTGTGTAAGTATGTATTTTTTTATTGCAGGTTTAAGTCATACTACACTAGACACTTGTGTTCCCTAAATGGCTTTTTACTTCTAAGTGAACTCTGATCCTTGTCAGTTGTGCAAAGTATAATTTTCCATATGTCTGTGGAAACATATCTGCTTTCAGTGTTAATTTTTTTGGTTTGCTGGGGGTGGTGCCAGTGTTGCAATAGGTGCCTGATTGTGGTTTGTCTGTGACCCTCCCAGTTTTTCATGCAGTTGTTTCACACTTGTGTTGAAATAAATACTCATCCTGGCCATACTTGGGGTAAAATAAAGCAACAGAACAAAACCTGCACAAACTGATTACAAAGCACACAGGTGTTATAGTGCCTACAGACACATTGGCCACTGCCAAAGCATAATTTGGTGAGTCCAAGCATGTTTGGTGCTGCTGCTGAAGCCAGGCAAGGGGAAGGTTGGGACTGGAGCAGAGACACAGGGACAGCTCAAACCCTGTCTCAAAGAGCTGGGAGCACAAGACCTAACCTGCCCTGCTGCTCTGTTGGTCTCATTAGCCCTGGGCACAACACACAAGCTGTTTCACACTTCCAAGTGCCTCATTTTCTGTCTGCAACCTACGTACTGCCCATAATTTTAGAAAAGTAGTTTATGGTTGGGTTGTAAAACATTAATCTGATTTATTCCAGTTTGCCTCAACTTTATCTGCTGAAACAGTTGAGTTGAGCAAACACTTTCTGCTAACTTGCCCCTGCAAAGAATAATTTTGAACAGCTATTGAACAGTTTATTTCTGCACAGCAGATGGGGTTTCATAGGCCATACACTTTGCAGGTCTTTTAAATACCCTGTAGAAAGGTATGATTGTTTTTAAGTAGCACTGTTTTCAGAAATGTCATATCTGACTTATAACCAGTTCTTCCCCAGCGAGATTATATGGGATGTAAATCATGAGGGCATGTGGTTATGTCTTTAATAAATGTATTTTAAAATGCATGAAGTCTGAAAACCATCCAAGTCACTAACAGGTAAGAAATAAGAGTGGGAGCCTCTCTCACAGACTTTTTTTATTGGACTTTTTCTTATCTGACAATTAGCACACTTAAGTTATGAAAAATACAGAGAGCCACTGAAATGTCTCAGTTTTGCTCCAGCCCAAATAATTTGTCACTGTTTTCTGTATGTAAGGATTAAAGCCTGTGAGGGCATGTTTAGTGTTAAGTCTGTATTTTGCTGTGTTTCAGAATCCTTATGTTTCCTTATATCATTTGATAGGAATAACTCCAATGTAGTACTTCAAACTCATGGTTGTTCATAACTGTCACATTCCTCACAAATAAGAATTATAAATTTGAAGAGTCTGTACATTTATAACCGGTAGAAATATTTTCTAGGGGTTGTTTTCCTCTTTCCTATATATAGACCAGAGTGATTTCTCTCAAAAACTGCATCAGCCAGCAACAGCAAGGGTTTGGAAGCAGATGTTTAGGCATCACTACCAAATTACCCTTCTCATAAACTTATATAGATTAAAGATCTATATTTTACTTCTATGTCATGGGGAAATTTGCAATATATAAAGAGTGAGCGGTGAGTGGGACATGATGGCTTTCCAGTGGGAGTTTGTCTGTCATGTGAGAATTTCCAGTATTTTATGGCCTTTGTCACCCAAGTGTTTGTGTCATTTTCAACAGATGTAAAAATTTGGCTTTGTAATAGTTTGACTGTAAGGACAAGTCTAGTGTTATTCTCCTGTCAGTGTACATCTGATGTGTTAAAAATATTGTGCCAAACTAATTGTACATCTCATGATAAATGAGGGCATGTCTCTTGCTGATCATGACTGGTTGTGCCAAGAACATTTCACTGGGCAGATCTTTAGCAGATGTTTCCTCTTTGATTTCAATTTGATCTTTGCCACTGAGGTTAACAACATAGCCTAAGATTTTTATTTCAGTCTGGTAACTACAAATATTATCTGTCATAATATTTTCCTGTGCTTTGTAGAAACCATTTTTTCTCTGCCTCCAGGAGCAGCCAGATCTTCATGCATTTCCCAAATAAGCTTTTATTTTGTTTTCAAAAATAAATGAAAATCCAAATACAATCAATTTGATAGAATGTGTTATGTATTTATATTAAGGGAAGGTCAGTAAAGCCTGAATATTCTAAATATTTGTGTTCAGATACATATTGTAGATTTATAAGCAATATATTAATATAATCTTCAAGGGCATGTTTGCTTTCTAAGTGTTCTTGATCCTTCCTTAAATATCCTTTTAGATTTTATGTGTGGAATTTGATCTTTCATTATCGTGGAACTAATGAAAATATTATTGACGTCAGTGAGAAGTGTATGCAACCATCTCTAATTCAGGAGCACAGAATATTTTCTTTCTTCTGTGGTAGTGTGATCTTTTCTTACACCATCCTGGGTGATTTTCATGTCTTCTTTTGGAAGAGAAATCTGGCTAAGCCTTCATAAGAGCTTGTCCTCTCCTAGCATTTTAGGAGGCAAAGGAGGCTTCCCAGAGAGTTGGCTGATGCCCCAGGCCTGTCAGTGTTTAAGAGGCCTTTGGACAATGCCATCAACAACTTGCTTTAAATTTTGGTCAGTAATAAATAGGTCAGGCACTGGGACTGGAGGGATGTTGTTGGTACCTTCCAGCTGAAATAGTTTATTCTACCCTAATCTAAAACCAAAAGAGCTATAAAGCAAGAGCATGAAAGGCAGATTTGAAACCAACAAAAAATAATGTCACACTGTAATTTAAAAAAAAATCAATATATAGAAAATAAGTATTATATTTGTGTATAAATACTAATTAGCCTTTTTTTAAAATTTTGAACAACTTCTCTTTCTGTAAAATTAAGAAACCTTGCTTGCTGTGACCAGTTTTACTTCTGCCTACATACTGCATTTGCCCCAGTGTGATGATTTCTGTTTGGGAAATGTTACAGCACCCATCCCTTATAAGTGTTTTTTTTCAGTTCTTGGTGCATTTGTAGCATGGAATGCAAAGATATGAGCTATCCCAGCCAAACATCAAACACCCACCCATTAGATGGTATATAACTTCTTTTGTGTATGAAGTCCTTTTTAAAAAGTGCTGCATTATGTGGTAATCCTTGAGAAGAAGAAAGAGTAGTGGAGTTTGGGATTCTTCTAGGTCTGCTGCTATTCTTCTCAGTCCCCAAGGCTTATGCAGCATTGAGAAATCCTTTTGATTTCTCAAAATAGGTCTTAGTAATACATTAGCAAAGAATAGATTGTGAATCAGCTGTCTACACCAGCACAAATATACCCTGGGACAGTAAGAAATGAATTGGTAATTACCAGAGAATTAGGCTCAACACATTTCTTTTATGACTATCTAGAGCCTTAGGAATTCTTTATCCTTGACTCACTCGGATATTTGTATTCTATGCTATGGGGCTCTGTTGCTTTTATTTTTAGCTACAGGTCTTCCATTTTCTTGAGAGGTAAGAACATAAAAATAAAAAATGAGGAGTTTATTTTGATGAAGCAGTTGTTCTCAGGGACAAAGTTCTGCTCTCATAATGAAATTCCATACAGATACTCAGTCACAGCTGTACCCATTTATGTCAAGTGTAGTGGGGGCTTGGCTATTCAAGTGTCAGGTGAAAGAGAGGATTTCAGCCATGTCATGTCCTGAAGGAGAGAAGTGCAAAGGGGATTTCACTGAGCCTTTGTCAATGAATTTTTTATTCTTTTACTTAATCACTTGAAAAAGGTTTTGTTTCTGTGTGATGATGTGTGTGACTGGTTCGTGTGGCAAGGTTTGGTAGCAGGAGTGTTCAGGGCTTCTGTGGGATGAGATCAGGAGCTGCCCTCGTGTCAGACAGAGCCAGCTCCAGCTGGAAAATCCTCTACTGGCCAAACTGAGCCTGTGGGTGACGCTGGTGGTGCCTCTGTGATAAGAAGGATAAAGAAAGGATAAAAAGGCACAACAGGTGTGAGGGAAAGGGGGGAGAATATGTGAGAGGAACAGCCCAAGGTCAGTGCAGAAGGAGGGGGAAGAGGTGCCAGGGCAGAGATACCCGTGCAGCCTGTGGTGAAGGCCATGGGGAGGCATTATCCTACCCTGTTATTCATTAGCAATAAATTAAATTACTCTTCCCCAGGTCAAGTCTGTTTCACCTGTGACAGTAATTCATTAGTGAGTTCCCTGTCTTTATCTCCAATCTTGAGCTTTTCATTATAGTTTCTCTGTCTGTCCTGCTAAGATGGGGCAGTGAGAGAGCAGCTTGTGAGCACCTTGTGCCAGCCAAGGTGAACCCAAGGCAGGGACAAACCACTGCAGCTCTTCTGTTTGGACAAACATGGCAGGAAAAACGTTGTTAAAAAGCATTCAGGCATAGGAAATTAACAATAGCAGAACATGCTGGCTGTGTAAGGCATTGACCGAATCATTAAAGGTGTGTCTTCTGAAGTGGATGTGAAGCCAGCAAGGTCTAAAACATAAATCAGTCATAAGCAGATGTATTTTCAGGTTGTATGAATGAAATCATAGTTTTGTCTTCCTGAGTAACCAGCTTGCCAAGAGTCAGTGCCATTTTAAACTACTTAGTGAAAACATTTATATACTTGTGAACTGCTTTCTAAGCACAGCAGAGCCCTTAAGCCAATTGTTAGAAATCAGTCAGTATCAGTAGGGAACATGTTGCTTTTTGGATAAACTTTATATTCCGAGATTATGAGAGGGGCAGATTAAGGAACCCAGCAAGTTTTTAGATGGCCTTTGACGGGAGGTTCCTGCAAATCAGCAAGAATGTTTGTTTGGATTTGGTTTTGGTTTCAGATGTTCTGATTGAAGTTCTCTCTTCATTAATATTCACCCAAATGAACTGCATCAAATGTTTAACAATGAAGGGATCCACTGGGTTTAGGGAAGACATATATCCAGAGCAGACTGTACTTGATTAGAGTTTGCAGACCATTGCTCCCCTACAAAGGGTTTCCCTCTTGAAGTAAAATTGAATCAGAATTTTCACAGAAGGGACTGATGCTTATGATTCACATTTTGAGATGTGTACTGTTACATGCCAGTGGTGATTAACTGAATCATGGTATTCATGATAATAATCATGAATATTGCATAACTGTGAAATTTCAGGTGGGTATTGGTGTTTTCCTAATGCTGCACTGAACTAGGGGAAGAAAATATTGGGGCATTTAAGGAAAAAGAGAGGTAGCTATATAAAATATTTTATTAAAATAATACCAAAAGTCTCATAAAACTTTTAAGAGAAAATTCTAAATTCTTAGAATTTCAGTATGGTTATTTAAAACTACAAAATATCTGATGGTTGTACCATGAAATATACATTTACACAACTACTAAGACAAATGCAAAGACCTTTGCAATCACTTCCTTTGCACCATTTTCATGCTGATATAATGCTGTTCAGGTCAATGAAATTACCTGGTGAAGCACTAATGCAAAAATTATGAAGAACTAGGTCATACAATAGCTAATCTTTCAGGAGAACTTATGTAAAGTGTAAAAACACATATGCATAAGAAAACTAATCCCTCAAAAAAAATTCTAAAATTACATTTTGCAGAACTATTTTTCCCAAGAGGCTCAACATGGTGTCAGACAAGCACAAGGGAGATAATGGGAGTTTATGTTCACAGGAATGGGAAGAAGCATATTGAGGCTGCTTTTATTTACACCACCCTGCAGTCAAGTTGGAATATTTTAATTCTGAAGTGTTGTAACCATCCTGTTATGTGATCTGAAGTGCTGGGGTGTTGCACTTGCTTTATCCAGAATAGTACACTTGGTCAAGAAATGTTTCTTTTCTTAGGGGAAGACATGTCTCGTTAGAAAATTAGTCTGAATTTTACTGGAAAACTCAACAGTTGAATGTAAACCATTAAAAAGTCAACCAGAAAGCCCTGAGTTTACCTAAGTAGAACTGCTAAACAAACAAGTGGTCCCAGACTGCTGAAGGGAGAATATTTTAATAAAAAAGTTATTAAAGAGAGAATGGGGGAGTTTTAACCAAACCAAAAGTAACCACTACTGAAATTGAGAAAAACAGATAGTTCATGAGAAAATGCTTACTCTATTTGGAGGAAAAAAAAATTGTATTTATTCTGAAATGTCAATGAAAAAGGAAGAAGCTGTCAGATTATCCGTGTCCATTGCATCTGTGCTTTAGGAGACAGAAGAGTTCCTATCCTAAAGCCAGCAGGGGAACAGTAAACTGTCCTTGTGAATGGATGTGTGGACACAATGCTCACACTGGTACAATGCACTTATGTTGTTGTAGTGGTAAGTTTATAAATGAAATTGCAAGAAAACCCTGACTTGGTCTTACATTTCTCCCTCAGTATGAAAATGTATGCAACTGAGCTTTCCTTTTCAGAGGACCACATGAGGTTTGTGTTCCTGTATGCCCCTTGTTTGCCTGGTATTTTCAGAAGTCAGCAGAGGGCCCTGTCTGTGTTTAGCCTGCAGAGTATCTCACAACTTTTCCTCTGGTTCATGATTTAAGCACAAGTGAAATAACAGTATTATCTTTTAAGTACTGTTGGCAGAAGAGTCCACTGAAATGAGATTAGTTTATTCTTCAGGGATATGGCTTCAAATTCTCTATATTAGTTATACTCTCTTGTGGAGATTTTCTTAGCAGCTGTAAGAGATTTGGTCTTTTTTCAATAAAAGAAGAAAGGACTATTCTAAGTGTTCATAAAGCTGGGTAAAGGGACTTTGGAGTTCAGAAACTCTGGCCTGTATCTGACATTCAAAAGTAGACTTTGAGGGTGTAGCATCTTCATTGAGTAAATAGTGTCTGCTGCTAGTTAATCAGTACAATTAGAGTAATGATAAACACAAATAATATTTTTGAAATATTGTATAATTTATAATTAAATTATTATAATTATTGAAAGTCTAAAAGAGAAATATAGTCTGGGTAGGAAAGTTTCATTCTGCAGTGTTCATTAAAACAGATCAGTTACATCTTCTTTCACTGAAAAATTACACTGGAAACAAGATTCGAGTCTACATGTGTCAGCTGCCACTGTTAGGAGGAGAATGATAGAAGTGAGATAATTGTAATTCTGAGCTGTTGAAATAGAGATGAGAAGGTAAAGATATTGACAAATACCTCAAACTGTGCTTATGAAATCATGTGTGATGAATTATAGATACAAGAAATCCTTTCAGAAGTACCCAAAAACTTTCTTTGCATTATTGATGTTTATTAGCATGTCAGGCTCAGGCTCAGAAAATTCAACCCAAAAGTTTCTTTGGTTCAGCTGCCTGAGGTCTAACACTACAAGTAAAATATTCAGCAAACATTTTCTTTCTCAAATTGATGACTACAGAGTTATAACAGGTTTGATTTTGTGTTGTGGCTATCTGGAAGCATGGATAACAACATACACAGCACAAAAGTTCACAGATCCCTTCCCTCTGCTCATATATATTTTCATCAGACCTCAGTGGATCTAAAATCTTCTCTATCCTAACTTATTGCCTCCAAAATGCTAAAATAGTTTGTGTTTGAGAGATCGAATTTTTAATAAATACAAGATTTTTCCATGCATTCGCTAAAAAAAAATAATAAAAAATCCCACTATAAGTTTCCCTGACATCTTATGGCTTGGAGGGGGCTCATCTCTCCCCCTCCCTTTCCTCCTTTGGACTGATCATTTATCTTATTAGGGAAAAACAGCATATGTGATTATTTCTGGTTGTTATGCAGCAGTGGAAATCATCCAGTTTCTTCCCCCTGGCCTGTGTTCCTGAGGAGCCACCAATTACTGAGTCTGAGCTTTAACCACTCCTCATAAATCACTGCTACTAAAATCACTAAACAATGATGTAATTTCAGTCCAAAGTATAGCTTTATTGCATTTGATTGTTAATAATTGTATCAAAATGATAATTTTCTCTTAAGTATCTTAATGGACCTTTTTAATATCTGCATCCAGCTGCACTTTATCACTCAATGTATCTCCTTTGCATGTCTTCAGCTCACATTTTCTGACTCGATGACTCTTGCCCTGGCAGCGAAGGGCCTTGAGAAAAGTGATGTGTCTGTGGGAGTGGGGCTGGATTCTGCTTCCCGTTGTGACAGCCCAACTGCCAGCTCAAAGCTGCCTCTGCAGAATCTGCCTGACTAATGACAATAGAAGGGCCAGAAAAAAGCACAGTTGGGGCTGCCATTCCCAGGCTGGGATGGAAGCCCTGAGGGCAGAAAACTCATCTTTTGGCTGAGCATATTTGACATGAGAGATATTGGGAGGAAATCATCCTGTATTCCCATTACACCTTTACAAAGTTAACCTGTACCTTGATCACCTCTGACTGAATTTCCTTCTCAGGATATTTTTCTCAAAATTATTCTTCACTTTCTTTGTCAAAGCAGAATGTACTCTTCTCTTGAATATGCTAACCAAAGACGTATCAACTTGTTATGGAAACCATGTGTCAAGTTTAAGATATTTCTAATAAGAAAGGAATCTAACTCTTTTTTAGCATTAAATCTGCTTTGTAGTCTCAAATGTTAAATATAATTGTAAAAAGATGCTAGAGAGCTTGCCAGTGCATGTGAGTGTCTACATATCTGTGTGTGTGTGTATAAATTCATTATTATGAAGGTATTTTCCTAATTTCATGCATCTTTCTATTCTTTTTTTTTTCAATTAATTCTATTTGTATGCAATTTTTAGTAGAAGAGATTCTAAAGAAATTTAAGAAAAACATAATGTAAAGTAGAAAAAAAAATTCTTTATAGATGTTGGTAATAGGACATTATAAATGGGGTTTATTTTATTACCAGCTAGAATTCTAAAGCTGGTAAGTATGAAATCCTCTCTTTTCTTCCATCCACATGATTACTATTCTGTAGCTGGCTCTACATAACTTGATTATGTTATGTTCTCAGGGCTGTTGCTGGAGTTGATGGGGACCTTGATTTAGTTCACATGGAAATCCAGGACCCCAGTGGAGGTATGCAAATGAAAATGTTATCAATTTATACACTCGTATACAGTTATTTTTCTTTTGTTTAGAGGTACTTTTTGGACTGTTTTTAAATCTAGTCAGAAGAGAAAACGTGCAAGTCAGATTCTCTATTTGTAGTCAGCGAAACTGTCCTTTATATAAAATGATAGTGTAATTTAAAATCTACTTGTTTTTCACTTTAAGAGGAATTGATGTCAAGATGCAAAGCTCTGTTGATAATGTCCATTAATAGTGCAATTTATCCTGGCATTTGAGCATTGAACAGTTTTTCCTGATTTGCAAATAAACCTGGCAATGCAGTGTTAGTGCTGGGTAAGTGTCTGTTAATGTGAATCATTGCACGTGTCAGGTCTAGAGTAACAGCCACCATCTCTCAGAATTTCCTCATGTTATAGTATCCAGTACACTTTGAAACTTCAAAAGGAAAATAAATGGAAAAGCAGATTAGTCATCAGAATGTGCTTAAAGAGTCACCATGATTCCAAAAGCTTGTATAGTTTCTTGTTACGTATCATACTCTTGAAAGATAATTTAATTCCTTGAATCAGATCATCTAAGTTCCTGTGCAGCCTACAAGTGAGTGCATTTAAGAATGCACAGTTTAACTTGCTCCGTTCCCATAGCTTTTCTTAATTATAGCCCTATTAAAAAATCAAAGTTACCATGTTAACATCTGAATGAAAAAAAGTCTAAATCTTCTAGCAATGAAATTTATGAGACATGGTGACAGCTCCATCAGGTGATTTCTTTAGAGACAATGTAAGATGAATGCAAAGGGGTTTTTGATTAGTGGTGGATTTTGGGTGTTTGTTTTTTTCTGATTTGGTTAGCTTTGGTTTAGGGTAGCTTTTTTGGAGGGGAGTGTGGGTGGTTGGTTGGTTTGTTGGTTGGTTATTGGGGTTTTTTGGTTGCTTGCTTGCTTCCTTTTTTGTTTGGTTTTTTTTTTCAGTTTTGGCGGGGTTTTGTTTTGGTGGTTTTGATTTGTCTTTTTTGTTGTTCTTGTGGGGCTTTTTATTTTATTTTTATTATTTAACAGAAATAGCAGAGAAGGAAAAACTCTCATCAAATACCTCCTGGCTTGATTCTCAACAAACTGACTTTATGCAATTAGGGTCAATACAAGCATAGCCATTGATTTTAGTGGAAACATCATCTTTGCACTACCCATATGACAAAGAAATGTAATTTTTGTGTTGTGAACTGTGAACACCTGCAAGACTACATGGTCCACTGCTGCACCAAATATCCTTGTGGTGATGATTTGGACATAAGCAGGAGAACTTGGATTGACTCTAACTGCCTCTTAAACAGATCCAGATTTTAAAACCAATAATTGCTTCCACTATACTGGTTTATCCTTCTCTAATGAAAAGTCATTAAATGTGGGATGCATTTCCCCTCACACTGCAAAAGTAGTGAAGGACATGGGGATACATTATTTGCTCTCTCACACTGTACCTGGAGCATGGGTAGCCTTGGTGATCTGGGCACAAGATTGTGTAAATAACATTTTCCTCACCATGCTTGGGCAAGTCACTCAACTAGTTTGTGCTCAGAAGCTTGTGACAAAGGATGAGCTGTACAAGAGCTTAGGGAAGGTCTTTAAGAGTCCCAGGGAAGGTCTTTAAGTCACAGCTGGTATAAGGTAGTGATTGTTGGCTCTGCTGTCTCTGATAAGAGCAGATTGTATCAAAGATGCAGTGGTGCTGTTCTAAGAGTCCACAGAGAGAAGATAGTCCCTGCTAACTGGAGAGGAAGAGAAAGGCCATAGCCTTCTCTGATTATAAATCAGTCTAAGCTTTTTCAGCAAGGTATTAACTCTGAATATAGAAATCCTGCCCCAACAGACCCATTCCAATAGTGTGCTAATAGTGTGTCTGAACATTCTTACAGAGCTTTGAAAATAGGCTTTAAAATTCTGCACGCTGTCTATTAAATGGAGCCTGATTCTTTTCTCATTCATCACAATTTTATACTGGGGTTGATCTATTGATTTCAGTTATGTTGTGTCAGGCTGCCATATCTCCAAGTGAATAATTCGGCTCTGTGCATAGGTTAAGTGAGAAAAGAGGCTCCTTCTATTATCCCCACCCATGAATGGCTCATTCATCTAACCCCTAATCTCTCTGGACCAGCAAAATTTGGATAATAACAGGCTGCCTCCAGGGAACGATCTGAACTGTAAGCAGTTAATGTATTCTCAGTACGCTGGAGATTGAAAAAGTCTTATATGAGAATTTAATATAATAATTCTACAACTAACTCACCTGGCAAAGGCAGCCTTTTTCCTACATGAATAGCATTTAATACTGCTTGCTTCTTTTTCCCTCGATAGCCCTGTCATATGTTTCTGTCTCTCTTCCCTCAGGTTATCGCTACATCACTTGCCAGATTCAAAATTGTTCTGATAAGACAATGACAGTCCCATTTGCTGGCAGCACTGATCGGGATTCCCTGACTGTGCAGGATGACTACATATTTCTTCAGGTATGTATGTACTTCATATTTCTCTGCCATTTTTGGGAGAGACAACTCATTTTGGAATTCAAAAATAAAGTTCTGAACAGTGCAGCAACACTGTAAGGAGCAGGGAGGAATTCATGAATGATGATTTATGAATTTTTACATGGAAAAAAGCATTCCTTTATCAGTCCAAATAAAAAAATAAATTTAAAAAGAAAGCATTTTTAATTTGTACAATGAGTTGCCCTTTAACTATATGAAAATTTTCAAGTAGATTGTGTTACTTCTTATAAATACTCGTGTGTTAGGTGATATGCAAACCTTGTGTTCCTGTGATTACAAACTCTTCTAGGTCCTTTCCAGAGCAAAACACGAGTAGATTGTGTTACTTTTTATAAATACTCTTGTGTGTTAGGTGAAATGCAAACCTTGTGTTCCTGTGATTACAAACTCTTCTAGGTCCTTTCCAGGGCAAAACACAAAAATGTTCCCTGGGAAGAACATCCAAGAACAACCACTGACAGAGTAGTTGCACAGCTTCTTCACAGGGATTCTCCTCTGTGAAGAGGTTTTGCCAGGAAAGAACTGCTAACATGGCTGTGCTTAGGAAGCTAAATTGCCATAGTTGGGAAGCTTGGAGCAAATTAACATGGAATCATAGGAGGGTTTAGTTTGGAAAATACCCTTAAAATCGAGTCCAGCCACAAACCTAACACTGCCAAGTCCATCACTAAGCCATGTCCCCAAGTGCCACGTCTACAACTCATGGTGGTCCAAATTACATTGGGGTTGTTTCATTCCCAAATGACAAGACCTGCCTGCAGAAATATGGGCTGGAACTTTGTCAGCCATGTGGCACCAGTACAGCTCAGGCACACTTGTAAGTATTGTTTTAAGTGCTTGGCACTGGTTGTGGTTTGGATCTCTCAGAGCTGCAAACTTCTCAAGGAGCTGTTATGTCCTTTTTGTTTTATTAGATTTTACTAGGTAAGTTGCTTGTGCTTTCCTTAGTGCTCAGCCATCATTTTTCTCTTACTTTGATGAGATTTGTTTGCTGCAAGTCTTATTTATTTGCTGAGTTTTGCAGGAAAGCTATTTTGTGGCAATGAATACGCCTCCCCACCAGTGGCTCAGTGTGCATCAGATTGGCTCCTTTCCAACTTTCCCTCCTTGAGCCTGTTTCTTCCACAAGGACCTGTAAATTAGTAGGGTCACAAAGGATCTGTTCTCCTCTTGTTTGGCATAGTGGTTTCAAGGACCTGCATGGTTTAGAAGAATTAACATTAAAAAAATTTTAAAAAACCCAAACAAAAACCCCAACCAAAAAAAGAAAATAAACTCACAAGAAAACACACACCAACCAAAAGAAAAAAAAACAAAAACAAAACAAAAAACCCCCAAAACAAAAAAACCAAACAAAAAAACCCCAAAAACAAACAAAAGAAAAAACCACCAAAAAAAAACCACCAAAAAAACACACAAAAAAACCCCCAAAAACCAAAAAAAAAAAAAAAAAACCCAAAAAAACAAAAAAAAAAAAAACCCCAAAAAAAAAACCCAAAAAAACAAAAAAAAAAAAAACCCCAAAAAAAAAACCCAAAAAAACAAAATTTTAAAAAACCCAACCAAAAAAAAGAAAACAAACCCACAAGAAACCACACACCAACCAAAAGAAAAAAAAGCAAAAAACAATAACAACAAAACCCCAAAACTAAAACCCAAACAATGGCATTGGGGAAGAACTTTTGGACTAAAGCAGGCATTTGTCAGATAAGATCCAGCACTCATGGCATGCATTTGACTCAAAGCTGTTATCATCTGTGGCTCCCCCCAGGCACAGTCTAAAAATCCATTTCATAGTGTGTGGATGCTGAGAACTGCTTCTCACCATGCAAACTTCCAGATTGCTGTGCTCAGCAAAACGCTGGCTGCTTCCTCATCAAGCATTTTGCTTTGCTAGATGCCGTGTACAACTGTATCCTGAGCTGGCATTCCCTTTCATGACAGACATGAGCAGACACGAAATAGAAGTGCAAGGTGGAAATGTACATATAGGTAATGGACAGTTGCTCCTCAATGATGCCTTTGGTAATTTGGTCTCTTTAGACCTGAGACATGTCAGTGCCAGTAGATGAGATGTTATTGTGTTCCACATTAAGGGGAAACATCTCTAGTGTTTTTCCTTTGGACTTTTCTGCAGTAAACCACAGTATGTAATGTACATCTTATTGCTGAATTGGTTTGCAGTTAGCCACATCTGTATTACTGGAGGATAGAAGGTGACTCTGGGATCCTGTAGTCACATCTGAAACACAGTATCCCAAAGGTGTGAGGCAGGGCAGCACTTTCCTGTTCTAGTGAAACCACATATCAGCTGCACATCTGAGAAACAGCCTACTTTTGAAACCATGTGGCTTTTATCACTACACTGAAGTACAGTTATATCAGTTATAATCAGACCAGGTACAACTCATGATATCACAGCAATGCCTGTCACAAAGAGGATGGGACAGAATCCTCTGTGCAAAAAGACAGGAGAGTTTGAGACTGTCTCCCTGCCCCTGGCATTCTTCAATTCCCTGAGCTGTGCAGATGTGAATCACAGTGTTGCAGTCTGCACTGGCCCAAATCTATTTTGGAGATTTTTACCATCTTAGAGGAAGATCTCAGCCACATTTCTTTAGTATGCCTATATCCACAAAGATCAGAAACTTTCTAATACTCATTTTTTTTCCCAATTTGCACTGACAGACAGTTTCAGAGGTGATTTTAGTAGGAGGATTAAAGTTTCAACACTGCTCTTAAGCAGACCAGCCTTTAATACCAGTGAGGCTTGACATGACTATGTGCTTCAAGTCCAATTTTCCTCTGACTTGCATCATCTCCAGTCATTTAAATGAATGATGTTAAAACATTAATTTAAAAAAGCCTGTGAACAAATGGGTAAGACTGCCATTTAGCACTAGTTAAGCAAATGATGAGGTTTTTGGTTTGATCCATCATCATTTAACAAATCACATTCCAAAAGGCATCATATTCTTTATACCACAAAAAATGCATACAATATTAAATACTTTGTTACCTTTAAGATATTCAGACATATGGACCTGCTGTCATATATCAACTTTATTTTTACCAAGCCAAATCAAGTTTTCATGTTTCAGGATAGGCTGTCTTTCAAATCATGTTCCTTTTTAAACACAAAAATTTAGGAGAAAAATAGTGAGATTAGGGTAGGATTTGAAATGGATTTCCCAAGTCAAAGAAAGAAGATGAATCTTAATGTGAAAAATATTGCCAAAGGCTGAATTTATTTACTGATATCATCTGGTGGTGCTCAAAGATTTAGTTGGAATTATGCCAATTTATATACCAGCACGTTGGTGTTACATTTCTGATTAGAAAGTCCAGGAGAAGTTGTGAGTTGACAATTTTCACTGATGTTTATTTGGAATATTCCTTTTGATACTTTGGAACATTGTATTAAAAGTAATGACTACATATTTCAGTTACAGCTTAAATGCAAAACAGTCTTCCATCTCAGGTTCTTTAGATTTATATAAGATGTCACAGAGTTCTGTTTCTCCTTTCTATAGACAACATCAGCAAACAGGACCAAGTATTACGTGTCGTACCGCCGGAATGGCTTTGTTCAGATGAAGTTGCCAAAATATGCATTGCCAAAAGTAAGTGTGCATGCTTTTCTTTCTTTTTTTACATTTGTCATCTTCTCTTTCTATTTAAACTAGTTTTGTTCTGCTCTTTTTCAAACCTCATTATTCTGAGTTCACAATTTCTCCTTGGAGAATTTTTGAATCCTTATTTTTATTTAGAATAATACTTTTTTTTTATTCCATTAATGTAGTACTCATAAACTGTAGAGGGAAATAACATACAACAGCTTATTTGTCATCATTTACTGCAACAGTTTTTGAGCTTTGCTTCCATGAGGCAGTGCTATACACCCAATGGCAATGGAAAGATATAGAGCAAGTGTTCTTGCAAGAATCAATTACGTTTTAATTCCACATGGTGTTGTCTGGTATAAGCATGAATACTAATAGAAGACAATTTTGCTACTTGGCGTTTCTCTATTTCATTAAAGAATCCCAGTATGGACTTTTACTGCACTATGAAATTGCAAGACTTGAGAGGTTCTTCAGTCCCATGTCTTCCTATTGATAGGGTTTCTGTACTTCCATAGTAAATCAGCAATTAAGCACAGAAATTTAAACATGGTCTGATTGATGCAGTGGAATTTTTTGTGCTGCACACATTGTATTTCCCGACTTTACAGTTAGAAGGCTTCTGCAGTCCTGAAGAAAAATAACTGGGAAGTTTGAAAGATCCAGCTGGATAAAACCCTGAGTAACAAGCTCTGACCTTACAGTTCACCCTGCGCCCAGCAGGAGGCTGATCTGGAGGTCTCATGAGGTTCCTGCTTTTTCATGTGATTCTCTGTGATTCTACCACTTAGCAGAGAACTTGGGGGTTTTTTGCATGCCTTGAATTGTATTAGTTTAATTAACTGCTCATCTAAGGAAGGACATTAGAGTACAATTTATTTCCTTTTACTATTATTGTTATAAAGCAAACATTATAATATCAGGTTATTTTCATCTTAGATTTTTTTTATGCTAATATAAATGGTGGTCTGAAGTAATTTTAAATGTACAACATATTATCAGAATCTCAGATCAAATCCTCGGGTATTAGTTGAACAAGGATCTGAAACTTGGATATGCTTCTAGTAGCACTACAGAAATATCTATCTATCTTGACAAGAAATATATAGTCAAAGACAGGTATATAGACCAACAGTAACACAAAGTTATTTCTGTGTTTTTCAAGCCCTTAAGGCAGCCTTTATGCTTTCTTGGGGGAAATTTTAGTCAGGAAAACAACACAAGAATATCCAGGTTTTGAAGGTTAAAATATGCCAAACATGGACACCTCAAGGGACTGCAGCCCATTGAACCCTGCACTGGGACACAAATAAGCAATTAAGGAGCAAAGCAGGGAAGCAGAGTGTAAACAAGGAGCTTCTGACACATTCATAAAGTGTCAGTCACAATTCCCTGGCATTTCTGTCATATGGAGTCTGGATTGTTTGAAATAGTGCTGCATGCTCAATTCTTTGCCTTGGAAAATATGGCTTTTGTTTGTTTGTTTGTTTGTTTGTTTGTTTTTCTTGCTAAGTGGATTACCCCAATCCTGACTGAATAAATAAATTAGAAGTTAATGGTTTCATTTTGGATAGAGTCTGTAGCTACCTAGGAACAGGTTGATTATGCCATTTTTAAAGGGACGTTTTTGTGCTCTTCCTAGTTCAGGCAATACCCAACAAGAGGAATAAAGTAAATATTTTCTCTTCAGCATTTTGACAATGCTTTGGGGAGACATTTCTTTGGTATCTGCACAAAACAGAATTGAAAATTTCAGGAAGAGGGCCTGGAAGCCAGACATACATTTAGAATAGTGGTGAATATGAAAGATTTTAACCTTTTCTGAGAAAGACTTTTTTTTAAAGTGATTTGGTACCTTCACATTACAACAGAAATTTTACATACTGAAGTAAATAAGAACACAGCTGTGAAATTTTTCACAGTGCTATACTTCACTGACAATCATCCAAGTGCAGTAGCATTGGATCGTGGAACTTTGCAAAGACACAGGATATCAGCAAAGACACTGGCCCATTAAACGTACATTTAGAACATGTGACTTTGAAACTGCTTATTTTATGTGGTAGGAGATAAACAGAATGGATGAATTTACAAAGGATGTTTTTTAAGATTGATTAAAACCAATAGCTTTTGAAAGATCTGAGTTTCAGAGAGTTTTAAATATTAAATTTTGCCTAACCAGGAGATGAAGCATGACTATAACAGGCTATATTTCATTTTTCTTGACAGCATGAAATGAGGTGTCAAAAAAATCTCTTTCCAACTGGTCTCTGTACAGAATTTTTGAGCAATGATTGCATACAGGGAAGGAAAACTGTAGCCAAGTCAGAAGATGCTGTAGACTAGTCAAGGCTGTGTCTAACAACATCAGGAGAGCTGTGCCAAAATGCAACCTGCAGCCTTAGGGAACTGGGCTGGGTTCTTCAGATGTTATTCTTTTGCTGCATAGTTTCCTTTCATGATCATTTTGCATATAGAGATAGAATGAGCAGTTTCAGACTGAATAGTTAGAAAATGTTTTTGATGTCTCATTTTCCTTTCAATATGAAAAGGTTGAAAATCGCAAAGAATTTATTCCCTTTTTAAAATATTTTTTGCATTTGTGTCTGAGTTTGTCCAAATGCACCGCCAAAGAGAAATCTAGAAAAGAATAATTTGTCTTTGGACATATCTACAGTCCTCCTTACTTGTGAATGAAAGGCTGCTAAAAGCAGTTTCCAGCCAAGCTTTACTTCTGTTAAGTTTCTGGGCTCCAGCTCCAGAGTGCCACTGAGATCACCTTTTTGTAACACATCATAGCTCTGTGTGTGTACAGACAGCAGAGCCATTGGGAGCCATCAGGATTCAGATAATTTTTTTAACCTTTCTTCTGTGCTGTTGAGAGATCTTTTTCTTTTTTTTAACACTGTGTTTGATACTGACATTGCATGGAATCCCACAGCTGTCTCCTGAATTTGACAAGTGCTGGCTGCTGCCAGGAAAGGTGGTAGCAAAGGCTGGTGAGACCATATCAAAGGTTGCTTGTATGCTCCCCAGAACAGAAGAGGAATTTTCAAACTACTGTTTTCAAGCTGTTGTTTCAAAATTGAACCGGTTTTTATACTGTATTCCATTTTAACAAAATTGCTTGTTGTGTGCTGCTAAAACTAGATCAGAAGTTAGGAGCTCATAGGAAGTGAATACCAAAATCAAGGCAAGAGCAGCAGGACTGCATTTGTGTGTCAGCTTGGCTGGTAAGGCATCCAGGAGCACCCCAGGGGATCCAGCAATTCTCCTTGGGCTGTGTTGAGCCTGGAGCAAAGGTTCAGCTGCCACTGCTGGGAGGGCAAGTCTGCCCAGGGGCACAGGCTAAAGCCCCATCCAGACTGTCAGCACACTTGTATTGCACAAGTTCCTGCAGCTCTGATTGCCCTTGCCTTGAGAAGTGTAATTTGAAGAGGGAGAGAGGGAGCAGTACCTTGGGTCTGGTCTTTGTTCAGGTATTTGAGTCATGCTCTGATGTGGGTAACAATAAAACTGGGAACTAGCTCATTATGAGAGTTTAAGCAAAAGATATTGCTAACAAAAATTTTGACCAAGCCATGGAAACTGCTACAATTTATGACAATTTTATTATTGCAATTTGGAATAATTTGATTATTCTGAGTCCTCTTCCCATCTCTCTTAAATAAATTCCATTGATAATGATCTCTCTTTAAGAACTGATACAAGGTATTGATTTATTCCACATTCATTCATGCCTCCTACAAAATCTTAATGATACAAGAGATTCAATGTTTGTTGTATCCTGCTGCAATACAGAAAATTTAGTTCTGAAAATATATGGTGTGGAAAAAACTTCTTTCATCATTTTCAATCTCTGTATCTATTTTCAATCTTGTGAAATAGGTAATAATGTCAAATTTTTCAGGTAACCAAGATAAATGGAAATAAAGGGTAAGAGTGAACAAAACCAAAAGAAGAAAAAATTCAATTGCCTTAGAAATGGGTTGAAGTCTGTACTTTATTCACGACAATATGAATCTCCTATAGGTGCCTTTTATCAGATCCATGTATTCTTTTTGTTTGGTTATCATCTAGTCACCTCAAAGCACGCCCACCTCTTCCTTGCCTCAGTCTGAATACACATCACTGTTTTAACCACAGTCTGAAATTGTCTGTATCATTCAGTAACAGATCGAAGGCAACCCCTAAATGTGTCCATCCATTAACAGCAGAAGTGGTAGAAGATTCCTGCAGCCCTTTTGTGTGATGTTCTCTAAGGATTTGGCTGCCTGATGTTTGGATTGCAAACTCCTGAGTCTATGACAGCTCATTTAGCAAGGCTCTCAGTCTCCCAATAATTTTTGTTCCACTTGGGAAGGCCCTTCACCACCTCTGCCACTCACTACCCTGGCAGGCTTTGGCTGAGGTTGTCCCCCTGTACCAGGCAGAAGGACAGTTTTTAGTGGCAGCTCCATTCTTCTGAAAGTCCACTGGAATGGCTGTTGAACAAAGAACAAGGGGGAAGAAAGTAGAAATGCAGGTGGCAGTGGCATTTGCTGCAGGGGAAATATTCCTTTCCCAGGCAGTGTCACCACAGCAGCCAGGGAACCTGAGCTATAGCAGCTGTCTGACTTGCTGGGTGTACAAATCCATCTGAGGAGGATTCAAGGAACTGTTCTTTTCTTCACTGTGCAACTTATTGATTTCTCTCCATGAACTTTTTTACTCGGCCATGCAAGGAAGATTAGGAGGATTATCTTTGGGATATGTGCCATCCAGTTACCTTGATTGTGCTTGAGAGATTACAGGAGTATAAATGTGGTACATCTAGAGGTCAAGACTGAGACTACAGAGCCTTGAGTCCTTACATCTGTTCCACTACTGATATATTTACTCCTCACCATTCTCTGTTTAATACATTTCTTATTTCATGTTAACATTTTGCTCAACCACAGCATCAAAAGATTGCAAAGGGGCAGAATTCTGACATCTGACCAAAAATTGTAAGATTTTTG